ATTTTGAAGAAAAAAAACAGATCGCTACACTCCAGTTTTGCAAGAATTTTGAATGCTTGTTAATGCTGTCAAACTTAGATATCTTTCTTATATCTTGGTCATGGTTTATCATGTCTTTTGTTTTGTCAAATACTGCTCAAGCAATAGCTTAGTGATACAAAAGTGGTATTCTTTGTAGCTTGCTGATTTGCTATTCTATTAACTATGCATGTTATCACCTTAAGAAAGGAGAAATCAGGTGTAGTGTCGTAATATGTAATGGCTATTTAACTGTGGATGTCTTTTCATATAAGTTTGGCTCTGAGAAAGCTAGCGCTTTGAACACATATGCTGTAACGAAGTCTGGTGGCGGCACGGGGCCTAGAGCCCGGATCGATGCCGGGCGTGGTGACCTCGGCAGCCAGGGAGCTCCTCCTCCTCCGGCGGCTGCATCCACTCTGGTATGAAATATTTTTAGTGTCAAGAAAGTAGGAAATATTTTTAGTTTGTTGTAGATGGCAAGCGAAATGTTGGTCTGTTGGTCCACCATTTTACCTTGAGTAATAATTAGTTGTATCCTACTTGATGCTTTCAACTGGAATGCGTAATAGTAGTGTTTTATTTTTCATTCTTGTTGTTAATAATGATTAGTTATATTTTCTAAGGGAGTTTGTTCATCATATGACGCTTTCCTTTTCAATTTCATTGGTAATGATAATTAGATTTGCTTATAGAGAAAAGAAGCTACAAGACGACGAAAACCTGAAGAACACTATCCTGGAAAAAAGATAAAAGATAGAAAGGTAATCATCCTTTCATTATTTTTATAACCTAACTTCTGTGTTTTTCTGCTTTATTGACAGCGGCATCAAGAGTTCCTTTCTTTACTAAACTGCTACTACATATGGATATGTTCCAAAAAATTAATCTCATAGCCCGTACAATAACTGTTCCTTATCTATACAAGTTTAGTATTTCTTCCATCTTATATGCCCAGTCTGCAAAGAAAAAGTTCTGTTTTTTTTTCCTAGCTGAAGTAGTTTGACTTTGTAGGCAATCGCTCTGACAGATTGCCATGGTGTTCCTATGAATATTTTCCCTACTTCTATACTTGCTGCTGAACCTGAAACTATGAACCTAACTATAGTCTTCTGTACATGATTCGAATAGAAGAATGTAGTTCCCAAAAAAAAACATGTGCACATTGCACAAAAAAAATTTAGTTCTTTATTTCCAAAATCAGCAAGTTGTTGCTTAACTACAAGTATTGCAAGTTTAATATTCTTGAATCAAAATGTAATCTGAATCTAGAGCCATCCATTGTTCAGTAGAAATGTATGGACTGATAGGAAGAAACCATACAGCCGGGTATGACAAAGGCTTGCCCATGTATACACATATCTGTCCATTTCATATTACAAGTCATACAAATGTATTTATGTGATCATTCTCATGCCTTGATTTGTTAATCCTCAGCAACTGTTGCAGGTTGAAGGCCTTGGGAAAATTGCCGAGACTGAATTTGCAGCTGCCATCCGGAAATGGAAATTACATGTAGGTTTATGTGCACTAGTTGTTTATCCAAGGCATTGTTCACAACTTCAGTTGATGCCCAGCTAGCACTTGTGACTTAGTGTAGGTGTATTTTGGTACACATGACATTATCCTAACTTGTTATATTGGATGATTAGGACTATGTGCTGGATGTCTAGGACTATGAGCTAGTAAGCCTTTTAGTGTAATGGTTGGACACTTGGATGGAGTTAGAATGTATTGCAATTGGAATCAGTTGCATAATATATATATGCATGTATTGGATTTTATTGTATGTGTGTTGGATTGGCATTTGGATCATGTGTGCATTTGAAATTTGGTTTGAGATTCTCCTGTTGTGTAATTTTCATGGCGGTTTCGACTCTCAGAAAAACATACTTTTGTGATGGTCTGAACATATTTTTCGTGGTGGTGTGCTCTGATGAAATACTATATTTCCCGTTAATTTTTTAAACTCTCACGAAATAATTTCATGATTGTGACTCGCATGAAATAATTTCATGACTGTGACTCTCACGAAATACCACAAAAAACCGCCATGAAAATACCGATGCAAACCTAGTGGCAACGTTATTTTCATGAGGGTGGCCGTCACGGTGAACTCTCATGAAAATAATGCGTGGAGGTGAACTCTCACGAAAATGGTTTTTTCGTGTGTTTATTATCATGAGAGTTGATGCGTGACGGTGTACCCTCACGCATTATTTTCATGAGAGTAAAACCATATTTCGTGACGTGTTTTGCACTCTCACGAAATCTCTGGATTCTGGAAGTGCTAGTCTTTGATCATCGAACTATTGAAATCGGACAAATTAAGACATTAAGACAATTTTAAATGTGATTTTTGCTTCTATATACGCCTTCTACAAATAATAAAAATTGGTTTCTTTTAAAATCCTTATTTAAACTAGATAAATATGAAACATGTACCCACTTTTTTTTAAAAAAACTATTAATTGATGCTCTATTTATAATTATTTGAACCTTATTTGTTCCTTCAATTTCTCTCCTGTTTTCTTGCTCAATGTTGTGCTTGTTATTTATTTAAATTATATTGTTTTGTTGCTATATTAGATCTTGAGCTTGACTAAAAGGCCAATAGACTCGAGTGCATGGAGATCTCATAGATGATACCAACCTCGTGAATGCCATGATCCACCACATACAAATCCTATTTAGACATTGCATAACTAGTGTTTTACTTTATTTTGATAGCTTGAGTAGCTAATAGGTTTCAAAAAAGGCAAGAGCTCAAGCATCATGCAATCAACTAATTTTGTGATCAACATAAAGTAAAGTGCAAATAAAATGGTAATTTAAATAAATAACAATAACGGCTATGAGCAATTAAAAGACTAGCAACTGAACAAATAAAGATCCAAATGACTCTAAAAAGAGCATTGAAAAAAGATTACATTTTGAGAAAATAAGATTATTGATTATCATATATTTTTTATTTACAAAGAATTAACTGTGAAATTTTAGAGATTAATCTAGGTTTTATTGTTTTTGGAATATATATATATATATATATATATATATATATATATATATATATATATATAAGCAAATTCACCTTTGAAACCAACTAGAGGACCAAATTTGTTCAGTTTCCATAGTTTAACGGTCAAAAGATATCTAGTTTTCGAGTGGCCAAAATTGGAATGGATTTCTTTGTCTTATCTTTTTGAAACACAATCTAGAGGGGCATGCCTATATGCATGTACATTTTTACCTTGCACAAGTGTACACTCTCTCTGAACCTTCAAGAGGCTGAGTTATCGCGCACTATTGAATGAATATCGTTGTTTTTTCCTTAAAGAAGTCTTATCTTTTTGAAACACAATCTAGAGGGGCATGCCTATATGCATGTACATTTTTACCTTGCACACGTGTACACTCTCTCTGAACCTTCAAGAGGCTGAGTTATCGCGCACTATTGAATGAATATCGTTGTTTTTTCCTTAAAGAAATTTAGAAAAATGCGAGCACATGCCACTAGATCTAGGACTTAAATTTAGATGGTCAAGTCCTACTACAAGAAGCATAACCAGATAACTGCAAGCAAGTTTTGGATTTAACCCTGAGTTTGGAGGCCATGAACTTTCTACATAGAACGTACAATCAGTTCCTCATGGATTAGCGACTAAAAATTTCAATAGTGGATCAAAGTAATTTCTATGTATATCATGGTGTTAGATTGTCTCTACGCAACATATAGGATGTTTAACGACATAATATGAATCGCTTAACTGTTGAGTATAGGTTTTAGCTGAAGTGAAAAAATATCTTCTACTTTAGCTAGCTTGTTTGACCACATGGTGTCATAATTGTTGATCTGATACTCTTCTGGCCTTCTAGCCGATACGGTTCTTTCTAGGCTTATATTAAGCGCCATGTTGCAGTTCTTAAGCATATCCTTTGCTATCTTCCTAAAGAAAAATAATGAGGGAATATGTTCTCAAATGACAAGCAAAAGTAGTGAATGCAAGCTGCATTTGCATAAATGCTTGCGTCATATCCAAGATGGCCGGATTGACAAGATAATCAAGAGCAAAAGAAACGGATTATTCCACTCACTACTTATTGTGATCTCCTGTTTCTCAAGTCATCATCTTTAGCACACGACTCTGTGAAAGCCGTAATTTCTGAGGTCATAATCACCAGAGAAACTGATTTATCTCGTGCGCAATGAAACTAATGGTCAGTGTATTAAGGATGATGCTTATACGATTCTTCTGAAAAATCTTGCAAAAACCAAATAAAATGGAATTTAGGTTGATACGTTAAAAAAAATGGAATTTAGGTTGAATTGATCCGTCAGGGGTGAGTTTTTTTATGAGAGATGTGCAGTATGAGGTCATACCTGCTATCTGTGGAAGTGGTCCACCACCAGTAAACATTGCTACAAGTGGTATCCACCAAATTATATCAAACAAAAAGGCAGAGTCCACTATCATATTTACAAATTCGCCACACCTGGCTTTCTCAAACGCATGCAGGAAATCCAATGGTTTAATCTTCTGTTTGCTAGAACAAGTAGTAAGTTTCATATACATAGAACTTGTTCAACTGCTGTATGAATTCTGAAAAAAAGGGGTGAAAATCTACAACTTTTCCAATGAATTTCTATGGATCTTTATCTGTTCCATAGCGTGCTCAAAATAAAGAGGGTATTACGTGATGACCCAAAGAAAAACAAATGATGTTCATCAGAAATCATTGATATGGTGATTCATTAACTATGTCCATCTCTGGCACTGTATAGTAGTAATGCTGAAGCTGCACTAACTCTTTAAAGATCAGGTTGATGTGCTAAACAACTGCTTCTTGGTTAGAGAAAAAGCCTCAGCTCTTGGGGGTCACTGTTAGTGTTGTGCCTTTCCCATCATTCCTCCCAGGAAAGAAAGGTAAGCTGATAAGCGATAAGATAAGTGATGTGGCAGTGCACCAAAACGTCGTGCAACCTACGGCTCAGATTGCACAACAGTGCACGTCACCATGATATGTACTCCTAAGAGAGTTAGCAGCGATTCAACTAGTCCAGTCCATCTTGCCCAGCACCAGCAGTTAGTGAACGTCAAATTTACAATTCCACTAGTAAGCTTGCTGTTACTGGACATTGCTGCACCACCATGCATCAGATTAGTCTTCATCAAAGGATGATGAAGCCAGTAAATCTGAACAAGAGCATGAAAAGTTCATGTTTCGTCAGCTGAGAGCCTGAGATTAGCACAACAATCATCTGATTAGCACTGCTGTGAAGAGATCAGGAAGGAGGGTTTTACTTAGAGAGGAAGCTAAACCAGCAAGCATCTGGAGATAGAATTTCTGCTGACATGAAAGCATGGAAAGGTGACGTGGACAGCACCATGTTGGATTGGAGGAGGATAACCCCACTTGGAGTATAGTCATCTACCTCCAGAGTCCAGCCCCTTTATCCTGCCTTCTCGTCACCATACTCTCTTTTTATCAAAATCCATATCTTCTTCTTCTCATCCTCCTCCTTATCCCGTACATTGTCATTCAATCCGCGTTATTCGTCATTCCAGCGGCAAGCCTCGGATTGGTTTTCGCCCGAGTGCGAATCCTCTGTCGCTTTTCTTGCAAGATTTGCAAGGCTTGGTAAATGGTGGTCAGGCACGCGGTATCCCAGAAAAGAACATGGTAAATGGTGGACAAGCAGAGGTTGTCCCAGAAAGAACTTGTCTCACACTTATCATAAAAGGACAGTACGAATTTCACCTGAAACAACAATTGGTCAAGCAATTCCACGTGAATTTCAAGCAATAGCAGCACGATTCATCTCAGATTCGGCATGGAAAAAAGAGCAACTTTTCAAAGATTGAAATTCTAGAGAAGTCACGAGCTCCATGCGTGAGCTTTTGGCGAGTGGAGGAGCTGAGGTACTCCGTAGCAGTGAGACGGCCGTCCTTCTGGTCCCTGGAAAGCCAGGCCGACCCGCAGAGAGGCCTGTGCCACATCCTGCCAAAAACGTGTTGTGCTTTCAAGCAGCACAAGCATTAGCATATAGCATATCAGCGGAAAGATAGAGCAAGTTGCCGACAAATAGTGAACTGAGTGGAGCAAAATTTGTGCAGGAAAGTTTTCAGATTTCCGGCAACAACTGGGGGCGGTACTAACCATTCTCCACATACTTTCCATCTTATCTTCAGAAAAGGATCTTCCATTCTTCCGTCGGTAAATAAAAAAATACAGCTGGCTGTGCTACAGCAGTTTGCAGTTTTGAAGCTGCGGCGGCAGCCGAAAGTAGCTAAAGCAAATGATCTTACACAAGGGCAAGCTTATCGGACAACCATTCTTCTGCTGGTAAGGGTAAACAAATGCAAACACAAACTCAAAAAAGACTAACAGCAATGATCTTACATTATGAACAAATTTATTGGACACAAAGGTATGCTTATAGCTGATTTGTCTCAACAAAATACTAGTTCTGCAGAAGTTGGGGCTCACTAAAATCATGATCCAGTGGCACAAGTGTTGGAAAGTATTACAATCAGGATTGCGCATCCAAAGTTGCATCACAGGAGAGAAGGAATCCACCAAAGAAATGATGCGTCAGAATCTAGCCATCTTGTAAACCTCCTGAATAAAGTTTGAACCTTATTTAGGAAGAGCAGCACCATGGATGAGCTGTTTGATATCAACTCTTGCCGCTCTCCTCCTCTTTCATCTTTTTCTCCCACCTGCGTTTCTGGTGGAAAAAAGTTTCAAGCCAAACAGACAGATGAGCCTCTGATCTTTTTCAAGGGATGCCTTCGTTCGGTCACTATCATAGCTATCATTACATTTGGTCTAAAAACACAAACATGGCATCTTTGTGCACCAAGGTCAATGCAGGATAAAAAGCTGGATCACCGACAACAGATATTTGACTATTTGAGTGGCCGCTAGACGAAACTAGTACCACAGTTTTAGAAAATATTTTCCAAAATTATGTGAATATAGTAACTAGACTAGCAAAGTAGATAATGGCGAGCAACCATCAGGAAATCTTGCCATCAGTGCAGTAGAATTGCCGACCCTTATATCAGTGCACCAACAGAATCTATGGGTCTGCTTTACTGCTTTAGGTATTTTATTTATGTTTATTTTATAAGCTGGATTGTAGACTTTATGGAAATCTTGCATTAAATTTAAACATATACCTAGCGGACCATTGGCAGATGGTATGTTCGAATTGGGATCTTAACTTTTTTAGAAAATACTCCAATGTTTCATCTCAGCCTTCTGTTTTGACTCACAGAGAACATTCGTTTGAGTGCTTTGAACTAGAAAGTTGATTTACCCTTTGATGGCATGAGACAAGCTAAATTTAATTGGTTGACGACCGGCTGTAGGTGTTAGGATTCTAAAGACTGATAGGGCTCAATTACAGGTGCAGCAGTAAGACTTTGGTTTCACTGATTTCATAATGATACGTTAGCTGCTGATCCGATTGAAACCAGTAGCTTGATGCAGAATATCATTATACATAGGATCCAATTATTTTCAAACGCAAATGCTTATCTGTTGTTAAATTATGGTATCACTGAACCAGCCCACAAACACAAGCTTCTCTTTAAAATAAAGATTAGACTTAAATCTAGATCCCAAAATATATTTGGTTCAGTCTAGGTCCCAAATATATTTGGTGTACAATACGGGATAACCAAATTATGCTAATGCTAACGCCGTGACAACAATCCCAAATCTAATTGTTGCCCAAGCCCAACTACACCTCTACCTGCAATCCTGCATAAGCTAGCATTCCAGCCAAAATATAGCAGCTGAAGGAATTTTCCAGGGGAAATACCAAGATAGCCTTCTGGCTAGCTGCTACGAAGCTAAAAGCCTAAAACAACTGATGCCCAGGTCTTGTGGCTTGTCAAGATCAGTGGTCAAGATTATAAATATGACTATGTTTAGCATCGATCAAGCACAACATTGGTTTTGAAATTATGCAAAAGATAAGCCGACTTGGCTCAGCATAATCTCGATACATACTAGTCATTGAACCACAACATTACACAACAATAATATGCTTTCGTAGATTCTGATGTTGCTTATAGAAGAATAGGCCCAATAGACCCCATTACCCCGATATAAGCCGAAAAGGACTTAACAGGTTCTCAATTAGAGTAGCATATATCAGAATAGAACAGAATGACTACGATTGTTTACTCCTCTGTTATTTACCATGATAAAAGGAACCCAATGGAATTTGGATTTCAGTAATATGAAGGTTGAAGTTTGAGCAAATTCACTGAGAAGCTATTGCACTATAGACTAAGTAGTGTCAGCACAACAAAAACTTGGGAGGCTATTATGTTAGGATAAGTAGTCTTCAACAAAAAACTCATGTTAAGTATCAGGAAGTTTGCTAGATTCGGAGCAATCCAAAAGTACCAGCTAAACAATACATCTAAACCATCCCGGCTTCAAATTGGCATGGTTTCACTTTCACACAAGGATCGCTAACATCAGTGCAGGATGTATGTGCACACTGGATTGCAATGTAAATGTGCAACAGGTAGCAGAAGATAAACTAAGACGAGGCAGACGCAAACCTATAGGGTAAGTATTGTTCAGCAGTTCAGCACAACAGAAACTTAATGTGAGAGGCTATTATGTTAGGCTAAGTAGTCTTCAACCCAGCTAAACATCAGGAAGTTTGCTAGATTCTGAGCAATCGAAAACTACCAGCTAAAAGATACATCTAAACCATAATGGCTTCAAATTGGCATGATTTTAAACAAGAGTCGCTAACATCAGTGCACTAGTGCAGGATGTATGCGCACACTGGATTGCAATGTAAACGCACAACACGTATTAGAAGATAAACTGCAGAGGCAAACCTTGTAGTCGAGCAGCATCTGGGGCATCTTTTTCATCAGCTCAACAGTATTTGCTCGCCTAAGAAACGGAAACAGAAACGTAACATCAATCAACTGACCCAGTGAGCAAAACGAACACACAGATGGGAGGGGAGGGATGCAGGGGATGCGCGCGCTTACTTCTCGGCGGAGATGCGGTCGCATTTGTGGCCCTTGCGCTTGGTGCGCATCTCCCCGCGGGGCGGGTCATAGGTCCAGTCCTCGCCGGCGAGGAGCACCTCCTTGCGGACGCGGGCGCGCTTGCGGGCGCTGATGCCGAGCGGCTTCCACGCGCCGAGCTCCCAGTACCCCCACACCCCCTTCCCGAGCTCCCCCTTGTACTTGGCCAGCTTCTCCCTCCACGGGTACCCCTCTGCCCACCTCGCCGCTGTCGCGGCCGCCGCCTTCCCGGCCATCGTCGTCAGCTGCGATCGCTCTGGATCAGTTAGGGTTCACGCTGCGGCTTTGGGTAGTCGAGTGGCCACCTAATGGGCCTTTTGAGCCTGGGCCACATTGAAGCTCATGTACTGGGCTTTAGTGGCACATAAGTGGACGAGTGAGAGATCAGGCCCAGTTGGGCCTTTATAAGCCCAACGGGCCCACTAAAACCTCCTCCTCCCTCTCCTTTTCTTCTCCCACGAAAACCTCGCAGCCGCCGCCGAACTCGAAGCAGCAGCCATGGTGCTCGCGCGCAAGAAGCTGAAGCAGAAGCTCCACGCACTCCTCCCAGCCGGCGAAGCCGCCGCGGAGGCGCATGGCGAGGAGGTGGAGGCCGTGAAGGAGCGGCTCTTAGCCTCCAAGCGGCCGCGCCCCAAGAGGGAGCGGAAGCCCAAGAAGAAGTCGCTCCCCGAGATGGTGCGGCAGACGGAGGAGGAGATTAGGGAGGAGATGGAGCGGAGGAGGGAGAAGAGGAGGAAGGAGAAGAAGGAGAGAAGGAGGATCAGGAGGTTGATGGAGGCCGAGGCCGCGGCGGCGGCGGCGGCGGAGCCGGAGACGCAGCAGGTGGATGGGGAGACGGGGGCGGAAATGGAGGGCAAGGAAGAGGCCGATTCTGCTGCTGGGTCTGAGTCTGACCAGCCTGTCGAGGCAGAGGATAGGTGAGTTAGGGCTTGGAAAGTTGATTCTTTTGCCCAGAAGGATTACTGAATTCGTGAAATCTTCATAGCAATAGCATGCTCGCATAGTGTGAGCTCAGAACAATAGTATAAGATATAAAATCAACAAATACAGGGGTTAATACTCGGCTTTGGGTCAGCCATCTTACTGTACTGTGATCTAATTGTGTGCCATTACATTATTATTGTTACTGTTGTTAAAAGAAAAGAATTCACTATTTTTTCTGTCAGCTTATAGTTGTATTAGGTTGCTTGATGTTGTTAACATCTTTTGAAACATTTTAGTGTGCTGAAGCTACTTTTAGTAGTTGTATAACGTTTTGTTGGCCTTGTATGCTCTTGTTTCAGCGAGCAAAATATAAACAAGGTGGAAGTGACCAAACCTGCTGTTGGGTCCAACAATCACATTGTTGCAGATAATAGGTAAGCCAGGGTACAATATAGTGATGCTCTTGTACTTGGAAATAATGTTGGTGATGGAGCAATTCTGCAGTCGAAGCTTGTACGGTGTGATCTTTGTCGGCACTAGTTGTGTAATGCTTTACATCTTTGTTTCAGGCAGCAGAATCACAAAGTGGAAATGGCCAAAACTGTTGTCGGGTCCGACAATCCTATAGTCACTGAGCATAGGTGAGTTAGGGCCTGATAGATTGGTGCTTTTGTGCTCTTGAAAACAACCAGGAGTCCAGGACCTGTTTGGATATCTTAGTTTCTACAAACATGATATCAAGTAACTATAGTTTTAGAAACTATGGCCATATAATATCTGCGTTTATAAAAGAGGTCCTAGATGAACTTTCAAAAACTTACAAGAGACTATTGTAGCAATACTGTGGTTTTCAATCTTCATCATTTGTTACATTCAAACACCTCTTAGTACCAAACACCTCTTAGTACCAAAAACCAAGTTATTTTGTTAAGCCTAGCATTTTCCCAAAACTCAAAAAGAACTTCATATCCGAATATGTCCCAAGCCCCATTCTTGTTTGATTAACATGGCTGGCATGGAAATAGGAGGAACATTGTTAAGATGCTGTCTTTGTGAGAACCAATAAGATCAGACACTCTTGTAGAGCATGCTAGTACAATGAGTTTGCTTACTGTGTAGGTCATGGACAAATCCAGGGGTTTAACTTGTACTTGGGTCTGTGCTGTTTTGCTATTATATTACTAAAGTAGTGTGATAATATGATAAAAAGAGCATACCCATTTCTGGCTGCGATAATATAACACATAAAGAGTTAAGTCACCAACTTATTTGACTGTAAACTTGTTTTCGCTCATAGTAGGATGCTTCCTCTCTTGAATGTTGTGTAATGTGTCGCGTCTATATTTCAGGGAGCAAAGTATAAAGAAGGTATATGTTGGTGGCATCCCATACTATTCATCTGAGGATGACATAAGAAGTTTCTTTGAAGTATGTGGCAGTATCACAGTGATTGACTGCATGACTTTTCCCGAGAGCGGGAAATTCAGGGGTATTGCAATTCTCACTTTTAAGGTCAGTTTCTGAGCCAGTTTTGCTTCTTTTAGTTTAGCATTCCTGTTTGTTTGCTACATCAAATTCTTATCCCGTATGCAAAGTTTGGTCTGTATAATGTTCAAAGTTCTTATTCCTTAATTATATCCAAATGTCAGTTTGACTTGTTAACTGACCTGGAATTAGAAACTGTATGTTCAGCAGATACTTTAGATGCATCAGGTTCCAACTGTATGATCTTAACTTCCGTGTTAATTCCACAGAATCATAGAAATCAACTGGAATATCTGCATTGACTGCCTCTGCAATTCTTTTCATACGGCTTGCTATAACAATGTGTTTCACTTTTTATTTTTTGGAAATTGTATTCTGAGGTATCTGACTAACTGTTCTTTTTTCAGACTGATGCTGCCGCACAGAGGGCATTAGCTATGGATGGTGCAGATATGTAAGCATACAGCCTTCTGTGTGTAATCCCTCATTGTTTTAATCATGGGTAGTGACATTCTTGATAACCATTTCAGGGGAGGATTTTATCTGAAAATCCAGCCTTACAAACTTAACCGTGAGAAGGAAGATTTTGCACCAAAGTTGATAGAGGGATATAATAGGATATATGTTGGAAATCTGCCATGGGATATAACAGATGATGATCTAAAAAAGTTCTTTTCTGAGTGCAAAATTTCGTCCATCCGGTTTGGAACAGACAAGGAGACAGGTGAGTTCAAAGGTTACGCGCATGTTGATTTTTCTGATGGCACGTCTCTTGCTGTTGCTTTGAAGCTCGACCAGAAGGTGCTCAAGGGGCGCCCAGTCAGAATCAGATGTGCTGTTCCGAAAAAGGATAACCAAAAAGTCAATGATAATGGGAACTCAGATCAATTGAAAAGTAAAATTCGGACATGCTATGAATGTGGAACTCCTGGGCACTTCTCTTCTTCTTGCCCAAATAAGAAGGATTCTGAAGCAAGGAAGTGCTATGAATGTGGCGCCCCTGGGCATGTGTCTTCCGCTTGCCCAAATAAGAAGGATTCTGAAGTAAGGAAGTGCTATGAATGTGGCGCACCTGGGCATGTGTCTGCTGCTTGCCCAAATAAGGATTCTGATGTAATTTCTGATGAAAAGGAGGCTAATGCTAACTCAGTCATAGCAGCCTCAAAGAAGAGGCGAACATGTTATGAATGTGGCATCCCTGGGCACCTCTCTTCTTCTTGCCCAAATAAGAAGGATTCTGAATTTATTTCTGATGAGAAGAAGATTAATGTTGACTCAGCCACGGCGTCATCGAAGAAGAGGCGGACATGTTATGAATGTGGAACTCCGGGCCATCTCTCATCGGCTTGCCCAAACAAAAGGGCATCAGACTCTGTTCTGAACAACAGAGAGCCTGTTGATGATGCAAAACCTGCAACTACCATCATGTCTGAGGAAACAAAAGTTGGCGACGAATCAAATCCAGCAGCTTCAAAGAAGAGGCGAAAATGCTATGAGTGTGGCATCTCTGGTCATCTCTCCTCGGCTTGCCCCAACAAAAAGGCTGCTGAGCCTGTCTGCAATATGGAGAAGCCTGACAATCACTCAAATACTGTACTATCAGTCATTGCTGATGAAAAGAAGGCCAGTGAAGAAACAAAATCTGCACCTGCAAAGAAAAAGAAGAGACGGACATGTTATGAGTGTGGCATCGCTGGCCACCTCTCATCAGAGTGCCCAAACAAGCCAGCTGCTAAGGTCTAATGACAATTGGCGTCACCGGTCATCTCTTGATGGAGGGCCTGAGCAAACCAGATGATTGTAGCGTCTCTTTTTTTTTCTTCCATTCTCCAAGACTTAGTTTGATTGTATTGTGTGGTCTGTTCCTTGATATGAGCAGTGAAGTTATCTCTGGAGGAAAAATGAAGTTCTGTAGCAGGAAATGTAGGCATACTAGACAAGGATTTCTCATTCCCTGTCAAATTTTGATAGCATGATATCACAAGATTTATTACATTGGAAAAGATTCATTAGTATCATCATCTAGATCAACTCTTTTGTTTGAAAAAATTGTGTAATGGGCTTCATGAACTGGACTGTGGGCGGCAGCGTCCTACGCCTCCTGCACCTGCAGCAGAAATAAGAGCTGGTCCCCTAATTCCCCGAGTTCTGCAGGTAACTTACTTCTGCTATTTCTGCGTCAGTTTCTTTCTTGTTTGATTTATCAAGGGGACTTGTGTGCCTCTAGAGGTGCAAAGAAGCACGAAGAAATTGATCCAAATGATACCTAAAACCATGACAACCGGCCATGGTTAAGGGTGAAAGAAATGATACCCAAAACCATGACAACCAGCCGTGGTTAAAATAAAGAAAACTTTTGGGTGATCTTAATCCACTGAATTTTGATCTAAATGCCCCTCCACCAAACATACAAATGCAGTGATCCTTGACATAAGTATCGTGATTAGTGCCCTACAAGCATCTCCAAGCGACTCTCCATAACCTTCCTAAATGCTAGGAATAGAGATTTTGGTACAAAACTACCACAGCCAAATGGTCTTCTATTTCGGATTTTTCTCTAGCCAAAAATAGAAGTTCCAAATAGTCATTCAAATATAGCCATCTTCTATTCCGGATTTTTCGCTACTAAAAATAGAAGACGAGGATGGCTCCTTAAAGTGCGCATAAGATAGAAAAACTGTTGCATGATGAAAAAATATAGAAAGCAATTTTTATGCCTATGGTTCTTCAAATGATGATTTAGAGAGCCAGATTTAAAAAGCCTCTCGAAGATGCTCTAACCATAGTAGCAAGCACTACGAGATGCTAACCCCGGCCCTTCTCTCCGAATCTCTGTGCTGTCCCTGTCTGATTCAGTCGGCAACTGTGTTTGTGTGATGATGTCACTGCACTTGGCCAAACGGGATCCCTTGCCCTGCCTGCTGCATATTCATAGTGGATACTACTTCAATTCAATCGGCGGAAAGATCCGTTCAGAAAAACAGAGCAGTCTGCATCATCACTGTCGAGACCTACGTGGAGACGCCGACCAAAACCATACAATATTTGGTTGGGACGAGCTGGGTGCGTGCAGAGGGACGCAAGCAATATCAAGCATTGGATCCCAACAAGAAGAAGAAGCTAGTAGAGGCAGGGACAGTGGATCTCCAGCCTTGAACGCAGAAACTCGTTTGTGTTCTGTCACCTGACAGCGACTCGACTCCCTCTGAAAAGCAGCAGCAGAAGGTTTTCTTAGCTCACCTCTCCTTTGACATGCGTGGGAGAGCAATTGGCAATTCATGAAAGAACACCAAATTGGCAGTTCATCACACCACAATGTTCATCATGCCACAATTGTTTCTCTTTTGTCCATGCCATTGTATGAAGATACTGTTCCACTGTGCATGAAATGAAAGAGTAAGTCGTCGTTAAGGGAGGTTACAAACAAAGAAAACCCGCCATATGGCCTACTGCTGTCTCTGCTGAAAGTCCTTTGTTAGTTCATCACTTCATCTCCATTACGTTTCTCATGGACTAGCTTTTTTCAACAACGTTAAGGGAGGTCACAAACAAAGAAAACCCGCCATGTTCTACCACTTATCTCATGGAGTAGTAGTGAACAGATATTTCTCAATGGATAAAGATTTGCTGTTGATGGGTAGCACCATCAGAGCAGCATCACCTCGTAGCATAAACTATACAACTCACACTTGATTTTGAAGTCCACACTTAATTTTCTGTTTGGGGCGGCCTGTAACCGCGCAAGCACTGCAGGAAGAGAGAAGTGGCAGAACATGGCTGTTATGTGGCTGCCAGGATTGGGAGGGAGAGAGCTGAGGGAGGACTACAGTACCCGTGGGGGTACTGTTCACGCGAGGGAGAGAGTGTAGGGACGGCTGGCTCCCAGGGGAAGTCAGTAACTTAATTGTTGCTTTTTGCTTGACTCTAACTGATACATGATGGTCTCTTTTATAGAGATAACTTACTTGACCCATAAGTAATATCCTAACCGAATCAATCTAATTTATCTCTTTCCAAACCAATCTTTCCTAACAAACCAAACCAATCTAATCTAATCTGACCCGGTACTGTTCACACGCACAGTGCCGCGTGGGCCCCTAGCCGGCTCCACCTGGCATAACACTACTCCACCCCTCGAAGACAGCTCGTCCTCGAGCTGTGGCGATCGCTGGAGCGGAAGACTTTGCGGTCCAGAGAAGATCGTCATGGCAGACCTGCTGAAGGAGACCAATGCTACAGTTGTAGTCAAGGCGGAAGGCATATGGCTCCCCAAAATCAACTCCGTACCATATGGGATCTGCTTCTGTAGTGGTGCCCGATCCATACCTTCCTCCTCGAGGTGCCAAACTTGTTTGCTCCATCTAATCTGCCTGGAATCGAATCCGCCCGGCTCGAATCCATAGAGCGCCTGCACGTGGAGTCGATGGTGCCCTCCATGAGCAGCCACCCCCGCTATGGGTGCGATGAGCGGGCGGTCAGTCTTTGAGGCGTACTCAAGCGACCGATGGAGCTTTGAAGGCCTCGCTGGTTGAGCCGGCGGAGAATAAGCGCATGCAAATGTACCACGCCTCGCCGAAGGATCGGTGCTGCGGCTCGTAGAGGCAGCGACAAAGGCACCATGTCCGCCAATGTCGGTGCATGGATGATCGCCTGCATTGGTGACACTAGTGCTGGCAGGGTTGTTGGCGAAGCTGGTGATGAGACTGCCGGAGTTGTGGCAGCGGGGGCCTTCATTGGTGATGTGACCATGGCGGGGGAAGAGGAGCGCAACGACGTAGCTAACATCGTCGTTGTTGGTGATGGCGCCGATGGAGCAAGTGGCGTAGCAGTGTGGAACTGCACTGGCACCACTACGGCTGCCGATGGTGCTGCTGGCGACGTCGTTAAGGACGGCGGTGCAGCAACCACATCGGAATCGATCCGATCCAATTCGGCGAAGTGGACGGCCGCTGGTGCCTCGTTGAAGCCGCGCAGCTGGTTGCAGTCGGTGATCTACATGAGCTCCTATGGCAGCGGAGGAGGTGGCAGCTAGGGCTGCGGCTGGGGCGCATAGGGCCCGACGAGGAAGGTTCTGATGCCCGCCACGGCCTGCCTTAATTCCAGGATTACGGCCGTCATCTGCTCCGGGGTGAGGACGAGGGCGGACGACGCCGGGGCAGAGGGCGCAATCGCCCCTGAGGACGCCAGCGCGCCCAGCAGCGCCGACGAAGACGCTGGACATGATCGAACCAGAGATCTCTGATACCAGATTGTTATGTGGCTGCTAGGATCGAGAGGGAGAGAGCTGAGGGAGGGCTACAGTACCCGCGGGGGATACTGTTCACGCGAGGGAGAGAGGGCAGGGACGGCTGGCTCCCAGGGGAAGCCAACAACTTAATTATTGCTTCTTGCTTGACTCTAACTGATACATGATGGTCCCTTTTATAGAGACAACTTACTTGACCCCTAAGTAATATCATAACTGAATCAATCTAATTTATCTCTTTCCAAACCAATCTTTTCTAACAAACCAAACCAATCTAATCTAATCTGACCCGGTACTGTTCACACGCATAGTGCTGCGTGGGCCCCTGGCCGGCTCCACCTGGCATAACAATGGCGAACAAACTGAATCGAAACCAGCATCTTCTTCAGGGCCTAAAGAAAACACTGGACTCTCATGGTCATTGTTTTTTGATCCATTCTTACAACTTATATCTTCAGAAAATCAGATGTCAGTACCTAATTTGAGACTGCACGCAGGTCCTGATTCTTCCTCGTTTCTTCAGAAAAAATCAGCATGCTGGCTCTTAAGCAGCAAGGGATGCTGTCACGGTACCAGGAGATGCTGATATCAACAAAGGGGAAGGCGGGAACACTGCGGATGAAGAAGAAGGGAGAATGGTACCAGGCCGGCCCAGGCGGAAGATCAAGCCCAGTACACGTTATCAAGGCCCAGAGTGGAAAGCCGGCCCATGACGATGTCGTAACGATCTAGTGAGCTTGTTAGCTGTTAAGAGGGAGGAGACGTGCGGCAGGGAAAAAGGGGAGAAGGAGAACGAATTGGCCGGCTGTGCCGGAGGCGTGAGAGGCGAGCGATTGCTCGATGTAATTGCTACTCCTTGTTAATCCACTCATATTCTGTGTTATCTGAGCCATGGTGAAGTAAACTCGTAACAATTGGTATCGGAGGTCACCGATCCAGTGGGCTCGGCGGCGCCCCGCCGTTGTTCAGGTACACTGTCGCCGTTGGCTGTTCTCGCCTTGATGTGGACTCGTAATCCCCGATGGCAGGTCGATCTCTGTTCATCGCCCACGCGTGGTGTTCGTGAGGTCCCATAGGTCCGTGCCGAGGTTGAGTTGGTCGGCGGGAACACCGCGGTCAGCTATTCTGTTTCCACCATTTCCCTCCGCCAATTTCCGTGTTCTCCACCAAATTTCCTGTTCTCCACCAAATCCTTGGTTCTCCATCATCGATTAACCTGGCGTCAGTTCCTGACTACCTTCTCCGCCCTCAGTATCAAACTCGTGATCAGAAACGAATCAACAATATGGAGATTCAGTTGAGCGACCTCGCCACTATGATGAAGGAGCTTCAGACGCAGAACACGTCCATCCAGCGCACCCTGACCGACAACCTCGCGACGCTCCAGGATGTGGGCATGTGGCGGCCTCAGATCGATGCCAAGGTCGACGACCTCCACAAATCCGTGACGGATCTACGACTCAAGGTGGATCACCTGATTTCGCACCCGCCTGCGACAGATCGGGCGAAGCAGGTCTTCGACAACGAGCTCATCGACCTCACGAAGCCGGCAACTGTGCATCTGGTTGCGACCTCGTCGGAGGCGGCTTCAGGGCCGTTAGGCCACGGCGAACAACACAGCCACCGAGGTATTGGCAACGGGGTGGTCACCACCATCATGCCGACCCCGGTCAAAGGTGCGAATTCAGTGCCGACCCCGGTCAAAGGTGCGAATTCATCTCTTCCAACATTTTCCCCAAACTTCAGTGCTCAGCAATTTTTTGCTCTGAATCAAGCTATTCCTCAGCAAGAGTTTCCTAAGTTCGATGGTATGAGTCCCAAATTGTGGAAGAAACGTTGTGAGTCATACTTTGATGTTTATGCTGTACCTGAGCATTTGTGGGTGAAGATAGGCGTGATGAATTTCGTAGGCTCGGCTGCTTTCTGGTCACAATCTGTAGAGTCTATCTTGCAGCATTGCTCGTGGTCTAATCTGTGCACAGCTATTTGTAGTCGTTTTGAGCGTGATCAGCAAAATTCTCTTAACTGTCAATTCTTTAGACTCAAACAGACCACTACAGTAGCTGAGTATATTGAAAAATTTGATGAACTCATTAATCAGATCCTGGCTCATGACCCATGTTTTAGCCCTCATGTTATCACCGGTAGATTTGTAGATGGTTTGAAAGATGAAATTCGTGTTGTTGTTTTAGTTCATCGCCCTTCCAGTATGGATGCTGCTTGTTCTCTGGCCCTTTTGCAGGAAGAGGTCCTGTCAGACTCGTCTGCAACAGAGTCTCACAGTACCAGTGGGCATTCGGGTTTTCGAGTTCGATCTTTTAAGCCACAATGGTCAGCTCCGCATACACCTCGTGTTCAGACAACAATGTCCAATGCCACCCCTGTCAAACCTGTGGAACCAGCTAAGCTATCAGGTGTTGAAGAGAAGCTTCATAATATCAAGAACTATAGAAGAGCTAAGGGTTTATGTTTCAAATGTGGAGATAAATGGAACCCCAACCATAAGTGTTCCACTACGGTGTCCTTGAATTTAGTTGAAGAGCTGTGGCAACTTATTGATAACTCTAATGACCAGGATCAGTATCACTCAGATTCTAGTGAAGATTTGATGCAACTGTCCTTGTCAGCGGTTCAAGGTACTGACACAATGCAAACTATCAGGTTAGTAGGTGATTTGTATCAGCATTCTGTGTTACTGCTATTGGATTCAGGCAGTTCTAGCAGTTTTATTAGTCAATCTCTCGCTGTTAAACTGTCTAATTGGACACCTCTCAATACACCTGTGCAAATTAGAGTAGCCAATGGCACCTTGTTGCAATGTACTCATGAACTACTCCATTGTCCTGTTTATATTCAAGGGCATTGTTTCTTGGTGAATCTATAAATCCTACCACTGTATTGTTATGATATTATTTTGGGCATTGATTGGCTTCAACAGTATAGTCCAATGGAAATACACTGGAAGAACAAGTTGTTATCATTTGAGTTTCAGGGTCACCAAATTCAACTTGTGGGAATTCAACCCAATCTACAGCAATGTCCCATTATCACTGCTCCAGAAATGCTTCAACTTCATATACAGGATCAGTTGTGGTGTATATTTGAAGTTTTTCAGATGGAATCTCAGCATATATCTAGTAGTTGGCCTGCTGAGCTTCACAGTATTATTACTCAGTATCAGCACCTATTTGAGAAGCCCAATGGGTTACCTCCTGCAAGACATTAATCATACTATACCACTGATCCCTGGTGCTCAACCATTTCGACTAAGACCTTACAGATATAATCCTGCTCAAAAGGATGAAATAGAGAAACAAGTTCATGAGTTACTTCAGAATGGATTGATCAAAGAGAGCACCAGTCCCTTTGCCTCTCCAGTTCTATTGGTCAAAAAGAAAACTGGTGATTGGCGAATGTGTGTTGATTACAGAAGACTCAATGCTCTGACAATTAAAAATAAGTATCCATTACCTGTCATTGATGAAATCCTTGATGAATTATCTGGTGCTCAATGGTTCACTTCTCTGGACATGACAGCAGGCTATCATCAAATCCTGATGGAAGAGGCTGATCAGTATAAGACAACTTTTCAAACACATCACGGCCATTTCGAATATACTGTGATGCCATATGGGGTGACAGGTGGACCAGCTACTTTTCAACAAACCATGAATTACATTTTGGCACCTCTATTGAGAAAAGGAGTTGTAGTCTTCATTGATGATATCTTGGTCTATACCAAGACTTGGTTTGGCCATTTAGCTCTACTACAAGCTGTGTTTGATCTGTTGACAGAACATCATATTAAGATCAAGTTGTCTAAGTGCTCATTTGCTCAAACTCAGTTGAAGTACTTGGGTCATGTCATCAGTGTTTTAGGAGTGGCCACTGACCCCAAGAAGATACAAGATGTTCAACAGTGGCCTATCCCTACTAATGTCAAGGAAGTAAGGAGTTTCCTGGGCTTAGCAGGTTATTACAGAAAATTTGTCAGAATTTTTGGTGTTATAGCAAGACCTTTGACTGATATGCTCAAAAAGGGTACACTATTTCAGTGGACATCTATTCAGGAAACAACTTTTCAGCAACTAAAACAGGCTCTTATTACTGCACCAGTACTACAGTTGCCTGATTTCGCTAAGCCTTTCACTATTGAGACCGATGCTTCTGCCAAAGGTATAGGAGCAGTCTTACAACAGGAAGGTCACCCAATTGCCTATATCAGTAAAGCTCTTGGCACCAAGAATCAAGGTTTAGCAACTTATGAAAAGGAATGTCTAGCAATTTTAATGGCAGTGGATCATTGGAGGTCATATTTTGCAACATGCACCATTTATTATCAAGACTGATCAGAAGAGTTTGGAAAATCTGACAGATCAAAGACTATCCACACCATGGCAGCTGAAGGCATACACTAAATTGTTGGGACTCAATTATAAAATAATATACAAGAAGGGTACTAAAAACTCAGCTGCTGATGCCTTGTCTAGATTACCACTTGCTGCTAATCACTGCTCTGAACTCTATGCTCTCTCCGTTTCACAACCAGTCTGGGTTCAGCAGATAGTGGACTCTTATAGCACTCATCCTCCTACTCTTAAATTGTTGCAATCTCTCAGTGTGTCTGCCAAACAAGGTCATTTTGTGTTGGACAAGGGTACCATCAAATACAAGAATAGGATCTGGGTGGTTAGTAGTCCAGTTGTGCAACAGAAAATATTGTCTGCTTTGCACAGTTCAGCTATTGGTGGCCATTCAGGTTTTTTGGCCACTTATACCAAAATCAAGAAATTATTTGCTTGGTCTGGAATGAAGAAGATGGTTAAAGAATTTGTAGCTCAATGTTTGGTGTGTCAGAAGGCTAAAACTGAGAGGGTGAAATATCCAGGTTTACTTCAACCTTTATCTGTTCCTTCTCATGCTTGGCAAACAGTGAGTCTAGACTTTATTGAGGGTCTTCCTCTATCTAAGGGGTGCAACTGCATTTTAGTAGTGGTGGATAAATTCTCCAAGTATGTCCATTTCATACCTTTAACTCATCCTTTCACTGCCTTGCAAATTGCCAAGCATTTCATGGATAATATTTTCAAGCTGCATGGTATGCCTTCTGCTTTGATCTTTGATAGAGATAAAATTTTCACAAGCAATCTCTGGCAAGAGCTCTTTCGTTTGTCCAACACTGAACTTCAAATGAGCACAGCTTATCATCCTCAAATGGATGGCCAAACTGAAAGGGTGAATCAATATGTCTTGAAGCTTACCTCAGATGTACTGTCAATGCTTGTTCCAGCAAATGGCGAGATTGGCTACCTCTAGCAGAGTTTTGGTATAATACCAGTTTTCATTCTTCTTTGCAATGCACACCTTTTGAAGTACTGTATGGTCATGAACCCTGTCACTTTGGTATTGATCATCTCCAAGACCGTGCTGTTTCTGATCTGCAAGTATGGCTCAAAGAACGTCGTCTTATGCAACAGTTGCTGCATCAGCAACTTCTTCAGGTTCAGCAACGTCAGAAACATCAAGCTGATAAACACAGGACTGAACGAGAATTTCAAGTGGGTCAATCGGTGTTTGTCAAATTACAACCTTATGTTCAGTCCAGTTTGGCCCATCGGGTGAATCAGAAGCTGTCCTATCGTTATTTTGGTCCCTTCCAGATTATTCAGAAGATCGGCGCTGTGGCTTATAAACTCCAACTTCCGGCAGAGTCTTCAGTGCACCCCGTTTTTCATGTCTCTCAACTCAAACTCGCCGTCAGCTCTTCTATGCAGGTCAGTGCTGATATTCCCCCTGCTCCATCTCCATTCCAGTACCCATTGAAGATTCTACAACGACGTCGTACTGAACCTCATCATTCTGATCAAATCCTTGTTCACTGGTCGCAATGGCCCGAGCATCTTGCAACCTGGGAGGATGAACGAGCCTTGAAGCTTACTTTTCCGGCGGCACCAGCTTGGGGGCAAGCTGGATCTCAAGCTGGGAGGAATGTCACGGTACCAGGAGATGCTGATATCAACAAAGGGGAAGGCGGGAACACTACGGATGAAGAAGGGAGAATGGTACTAGGCCGGCCTAGGCGGAAGATCAAGCCCAATACACGTTATCAAGGCCCAGAGTGGAAAGCCGGCCCATGACAATGTCGTAACGATCTAGTGAGCTTGTTAGCTGTTAAGAGGGAGGAGACGTGCTGCAGGGAAAATGGGGAGAAGGAGAACGAATTGGCCGGCTGTGCCGGAGACGTGAGAGGCGAGCGATTGCTCGATGTAATTGTTACTCCTTGTTAATCCACTTATACTCTGTGTTATCTGAGCCATGGTGAAGTAAACTCGTAACAGATGCTAATCTGCCCCTTGATCCCCAAGGAATATTCTGGCCTTTCGCAGTCTGAAATTGCACTTTGAAGACCATGACGAAACACGCATAGTATCATATTAGATTATATATATACAATCAGCCTTTTGAATCAGCAGTAGCTAGCTGAAGTAGTGCTGCTCGTTGAAGGATTCTTCTGCACACAGTGGTCGGCACACTGCATTGCCACAAAAAATATTCAGTGAAGGAAGATGCAGAAAACAGAAACAGCTCAAGCTTCCATTCTTTTCACCTGCTTTGCTTCTCTCCAACACGCAGGACAACTACGTGTCGGTTTTTTTAAGAGAACATGTCATTTCTATCTTTTTTGCCTTCTTTTCTGTCAGAAATTATACTCGTTGACTTAATGGATGCAGTATGCATTGATTTTTCTAATGATGAGATGAAAAAATATAGAAAGCGATTTATGCATACGGCTCTCCAAACGATGATTTAGAGAGTCGAAGATGCTCTAACCATAGTAGCAAGCACTACGAGATGCTAACCCCGGCCCTTCTCTCCGAATCCCTGTGCTGTCCCTCTCTGATTCAGTCAGCAACTGTGTTTGTGTGATGATGTCACTGCACTTGGCCAAACGGGATCGCTTGCCCTGCCTGCTGCATATTCATAGTGGATACTACTTCAATTCAATCCGCGGAAAGATCCGTTCAGAAAAACAGAGCAGTCTGCATCATCACAGTGGAGACCTACGTGGAGACGCCGACCAAAACCATACAATATTTGGTTGGGACGAGCTGGGTGCGTGCAGAGGGGCGCAAGCAATATCAAGCATTGGATCCCAACAACAACAAGAAGAAGAAGGTAGAAGAGGCAGGGACAGTGGATCTCCACCCTTGAACGCAGAAACTCGTTTGTGTTCTGTCACCTGACAGCGACTCGACTCCCTCTGAAAAGCAGCAGCAGAAGGTTTTCTTAGCTCACCTCTCCTTTGACATGCGTGGGAGAGCAATTGGCAATTCATGAAAGAACACCAAATTGGCAGTTCATCACACCACAATGTTCATCATGCCACAATTGTTTCTCTTTTGTCCATGCCATTGTATGAAGATACTGTTCCACTGTGCATGAAATGAAAGAGTAAGTCGTCGTTAAGGGAGGTTACAAACAAAGAAAACCCGCCATATGGCCTACTGCTGTCTCTGCTGAAAGTCCTTTGTTAGTTCATCACTTCATCTCCATTACGTTTCTCATGGACTAGCTTTTTTCAACAACGTTAAGGGAGGTCACAAACAAAGAAAACCCGCCATGTTCTACCACTTATCTCATGGAGTAGTAGTGAACAGATATTTCTCAATGGATAAAGATTTGCTGTTGATGGGTAGCACCATCAGAGCAGCATCACCTCG